CACTAAGATCTAAATCTGCATAAGTGTAGATCAAAAAAGCGAGAGTTCGTTGTTGGTTTCCTCCTCTCCGGTGATGGCGCACCGTCGCCAAATCTGTGAGGGGAGTTTGTAAGATAGCGTAGATCTCTTCTTTAGGTGTGTTCTTCTCTTATCTGTGTATGTGTTCGCTTGGGTTCTCAGATCTGGATTTTCAGCCTTCGATTCAGGTGGAGGTGGCCGTGTTGGATGCTCGGCGGGGCTTTCTGGCTTCTCGAGTGGATGAGTCTCTGTCCCGGTCCCAGATCTCCTTGGAGGAAAAGTCTTGGGTTTCCCCAGGTCATGTTGGCGTCGGGGGGCTTAGTCAATGGTTTGTGAAGTGGTGGTTCTCTCTCGGTGCTACCCGATACTGCTTCTCTCATCCCTGTCGCGGCTCTGTCTTTGATTTTTTTGGCCACTCTTGTGTTCTAGTCTCTCTCGGATGGGCTCACGTCTTGCTTGGACAGATTTCAAAGTCGATCTAGTTTTGGTTCAAAGTGGCTTGGTCCTTTGAATCGGTATTTTTAGGCTCTTCTTTGTTTTCTCTGTTGATGCTTTTATCGCTTATCGTTTCTTGGTTTGTTGATTGCTTTGTTACTGCTTTTGGTTTATCGATTATAGTCTTCTACACACTTTGGTTGACGGATAATTTCTTTAGGATTTAGGATTTGACCGGGACCTAGGATTCGAGTTATTAACAATCTTTAAGCTATTGATCTATGGTTTTCATCATAGTGCTTAACCAGAGTTCTTGGAAAAGGTTTTGAACGGTCCTTCCCTTGTATCACTTCATCTCAGTAAAAATAAGAGTTGGGGCACGAGCAATTATTTGGGTTTTGTTCTGTTCTCTTGCCTTCAAGACTAATAAGGCTATGGGGTTGTATATTTTTCAACTATTCTTGGATCCGTCGTCGTTTGGTTATCGCCTTCATCGTTTGGAGTATTAGTTTGTTGATCTTTAGGGTGGGTGTTTGGGTAGTTTCAGTTTGGATTTGCTTGGTATTTTATCTCGCATTGTATCTTCTATTCTACCTTGTATTCTACTTGTACTCGACTATGTATTCCACTTTTTCTTGATAAAATTTTCAGATGACAAAAAAAAAAACACTCTGCATAAGTTGAAAAACAAAATCTGAACATTTATATCCTCCATTTGTTATAGCTTAATGGGGAGACACAACAACCACTATCAAAAGATGCCTCTTGAAGTATGCGTTAAAGCAGCTTTCGGTGCTCCTCATGTTCTCGGTGACTGTAAACTTACCTATCTCTGTTTATACATTACGTTTTCTTTCATTTCACAACTTTTAGGGTTCTTTAACCTTTTGATGTATCTACATTTGTAATGTATCCTCAATTTTTTTTTTTTTCAGCCCGTTTAGCCAACATGTTCTTCTTACCCTCGAGGAAAAGAATGTTCCATACAAACTCCATCTCATTAACCTCGCCGCCAAACCACAGTGGTCAGTTTCGCAAATCATTCTAAGTTGTTTCACTTTTCCTTTAGTTATGTGAGTTTGCTATAGCCAAAGTTGGTTGTTTTTCATCGCATAATCTTCTGAATTTTACTTATATATTATTTCGTACTCATGGACCGGTCTTGATTTTTCTAAACCGTATGAGCTTTTGTGTTAACCGGAAACAAGGTCATGACTTTGGTTTATATGATGTAGGTTCTTAGACATTAGTCATCCTGAAGGGAAAGTACCAGTGGCTAAGATCGACGAAAAGTGGGTGTCTAATGCCGAGATCATCGCTAGTATTCTCGAGGAGAAGTATCCTGAGCCATCTCTAAAGAGTACTCCTCCTCAGTTTGCCTCTGTTGGATCCAAGATTTTCGATACTTTCTCGACTTTCTTGAAGAGCAAAGACTCCAATGACGGATCCGAAATGGCATTGCTTGACGAGCTAGTAACTTTAGAGAATCATCTCAAGACTAGTAACGGTCCTTTTATAGCCGGGGAAAGATTAACCACGGTGGATCTCAACTTAGCACCAAAGCTTTACCATCTTGAAGTTGCTCTTGGTTATTTCAAAAGATGGTATATCCCCAAGACCTTTCCTCATGTCCTCAACTACATGAAAGTGTTGTTCTCTCTTGACTCCTTTAAGAAAACAAAGGCCGAGAAAGAAAAAAACAAAGGCCGAGGAAAAGTATGTGATCGCAGGTTGGGCTCCCAAGGTTAACCCGTGAAACTTTGTTTGAGCTACCTTATGACCATTAAGTGCAACATTGTATTTATTTTTCTTGGAGATTCTTTACTTCCGTTTCTATAAATAGTCTGATTTATAAATTTTTTTTATTTATTTTAAATTAGGGGTTAAATTAGAGTCAAAGAAAAAATGGTTTATGCATGATTTTTATCAAGGCCGCATATGAGTTATGGTGGGGCAGTAGGTAGAAGTAGAGGTTTACATTATTTTTATCTATTCGGCTTTTTTTAATACTTTTTTAGGCTGTGAATGGTAAACAAACTAGAAGAAACTGGAAGAAAACAAAATATTCTAGGTCCACCATCATTAGAGGAAATTTTTTTTTTTCATCAAGTGATATGTTTTTTTTTCGGAAGAAGGTTTTATCCTACATAAAAAAGGTGGAAAACTTTCTACTAGTTTACACGATTATGGTGGACACAACCAGATTTTCTCTCACTTTTCTTTTCTACCATTTTCCTCTACATTGATTACCACTCACAGCCTTAGATGTAGATGGAAGAAGAAAGAACATGAAAAGACAATACATGAGAATGTAGAATAGACAAAGGTTGAGTTGAATTTTGTTTTTGTTACTTTAAAAAAAGTATCCGCGCATAAGATTTTTATTATTTTTTCTAACTTCAGGAATTTTTTTTTTAAAATAATACAAAACAAAGTTAAACCGAATAAATGAACAATGACAATTTAACATCGTTAACTTCTAAACGGTTTAATTCATTTCGTTTCAAAAGGTTGGAGTTTTATTTGCTTATTTGAAACTTGGTGGTTTTAATTTACACTTCAAATTTTGTTAGGTTTTTTCTAGTGAAACTGAAATAGATTGGATCTTTTTGTTTTGCAATTTTCCCATGATACTTTGATCGAGGCAATGTTGCACCGGTTTGCATTGTGGCCAGTTTAACGATTTTGTCAATTGGCAATGTTGTAATGATCTGAGAGAAATGTACAAAAGATAACCAATGATTCTTCTATCTTTTTATATACTGATTGATCGCTTTCTTCGAAGTCTGGAAAACGAAACAAAAGAAACCAAGAAAAATCTCACAACTAAAAAGAGCGGTAAAAATAAATTTCCAAAATTCCAAAAAGGAACAAGATTATTACAGAACAGAGAGCTTAGCTACAGTTTAACCAAGGGAGGAAAACACAAACAGAACAGAGAACATTGAACTCGAAAATGATCCAAGATTCAAAGATTTTTGGTTCCACCTTTTTTTTGTTTTTATCGTCTCACTCTTCTAAACCCGGATCCGGGTAGGTGATACACTCATACCTATAGTCAATTTATCTGAAGGTTTAAACTTTCGAGCTTCCATATGCTTAAACATCCGTCTCGCGTCTTTCTCAAACCCACCCATCTTCAATCCAGTTATAACCTTTTCAAACTCGTTAGGTCCCATTTGATCTTTCTTAGATTCCAACACCCCAAGAGCTTGAAGAGTCTTCTTCTCGTTCCTCTCATACGAATACATACAGCACAAGCTCACCTGGAGCTCTAACGGTGGAGCTTCTCCTAGCTGAGATATCTTAACCACAAGCTGCTCAGCTTCCTCGATTAGCCCGAGGTTAGCCATCCAATCAACAAGAGCAGTGTAAGTGAGAACACCGATTTCAATCCCGTCTTTCTCTAGCTGTAACAAAAGTCTCAGAGCTTTATCTAACGAGTTCTCTCTTTTATATGCTTGGATCACATGTGCTATGGTCTTGTCATCAGGTTTGTGCCCACGCTGTCTCATCTCGTCAAAGTAGTGCTTTGATCTATCTGCCTTCCCTGCTTTCGCATATGCTTCCACCATCAAACTAAATGTTTCAAAACTCACTGGACCAGGCACATCTGCCTGCATTGTACTATAAATCCATGAAGCTCCAGCCTCGTCTCCCACTTGTGCATAAGCTCGAAGTAGAGCCACATAAACTTCTTCTGGAGCCTTCAAGTCTCTTCCGCTCATGTCTCTCAAAAATCTCTCAGCCAGTTTAGGCTTGCCAGCGTTTACATAGCCCATTATCATGGCTGTGTAGATTTTCTTGTCTGGCTGTAAACCATAGCTCTTCAGGCTTTCAAATGCCTCTATGGCACGTTCGAGGTTGCCTGATTTACTGTACATATGAATCAACACGGTGGCGGTTAAAATGTCCGGAAAGATCCCATTTTGAGACATTTTCTTTAGAATCCTCTCAACATCTTCAACCCGGTCCTCCTTAGCATAGATATGGATGAGTTTGGAGTAGTCCAAGATACTTGCCTTGAACGATTTCTCATCCAGGACAAGTTCTGCTACCTGTTGAAAACATCAAAATTGATCAAAACACTACATGATCACGCCTCCACCATTGCTCATCTGCCAGACATATGTTAGATATATACATATTCAAGTACCACCATCTTGATAGAACAAACAAGCTAAACTACCGAATCAAACAACAACGGATCCCTACTAAGGAAACCAACACGCCAGAAATTGACTATGCATATACAATGATCTAACAAGGAGCAATCTAATCAGAAATTTGAAACTTGAGCTTCGAATCAGTCAAGAACAAGCACCATAATGATTAGACCATTACGCATCAATATTGTTATTCCAGTGAATTTCAGAAAAGACTACTAACCTTTAAGTATACATTGGTGTTTCCTTCTCGCAACTGATTAAGTAAAGCAATCCAGTCCACACGGTGAGGCTCTAATAACTCAACCCATTCAGCAACCAATCCTGAAGGATCATCACCTTCTTGCAGAGACATAAGCTTCTCCATAACCAATTTACACTTTCCAGTTACAGGTTTCGTCTCTCTCCAATCAGCTTCTTCCTCAGCTTCATGAATTCTATCAGCAATGTCAACCCATTTCGGATCCGATAACTCAAGCCCGTAAATCTTGTACTTGAATTTCCCCTTTCGTTTAGGAAGAGAGATGCTCCGAGATTGAGTTTCATCAGAGACACTAAACC